CTCTCTCTCTCTCTAGCTGGCCTCAAACTTGGACTGAAGCGATCCTTTTGCCTCAGCTTCCCAAACAGCTGGAACTACATTTACTTCCTATAGTGCCCACTTTACCTATTTGAATTTTTTTCTCATCACCCAGCCTCCCAATATCAAAAAAGTGGAGACCATAATGTTAAGTAAAGTAAATTAGAAACACAATCTTAAATACTGCATGGTTTCTCTTATATGAGAAACCCAAATTATGAATAAAGAGCCAAATAAAAGATAGATAATAGGAAGTGGGGAGATAGATCCTTTTAAAATGGGAAGGGCTCGAGAGATGGTGGGAGGGGAAATGGAGTTGAGGGAAAGAGAATGAAAAAAAAAAAGAATTAAGACTGTTATATATATGTATCAACTCCACACAAGGAATGTAAACATGTACTACACACACATACTAATAAAAAAAATTCTCCATTCATGTTTCTCCGGCAACTCCGTAGACTTCAGAATAAATTCAAAATTCAGGATGGCATTGGAAGTCTTTCTGATTTGGCCCCTCTTCTTTCCCAGCTTTATTTTCCTCTATGCAATCACAAGACTTACTTTTCAGCCTATTAGGCCATTTCTATAACTCAGCCCATATTTTTCTTTTTTACATTGTTGTCTACCTCAAGTGTCACCCCAACATTTTGGATCCTACTTATTTTTAAAGGCCTACAAAACCATCCCAATTCTCTTTCTCCTATAGGCTTCTGTAACACTCTTCTGCAGTAATCTGTGTGCTTGTCAATTTCCATGACTAGGTACCAAGACTACTGAGGTCATAAATCATGTATCATTCTCTTAGCCTTGACACATTGCCTCGGACATGGTTAGTACCCAGCATTTGTTAATATAATATTATTTAATTAAAATTATGTGTAAGTTTTAATGTGCTAGATAAAATTTGATTGCTCTATAATTCTATATCATATGTAATCATCAAAAATAGTTTATAAAAGGAAAAAAAAGCAATCCTCTATTAACAGTTCTACATTGTCATAGGGCCATACCTACATATGTGGCTTGAAATAAAAAAGCATGATTCTGTGGATTTAGAATCAAATTCACCCTCTGAGCCTTTGAATTTGGCCACTACTAAAGCCAAGTTTGGGAGGTTTTTTAATCATGTGAAGCAACAATGTGGTGTCATTAAAGGATGAAAATTTTATCCAGATCAGGCTTGGTTAGTAGGGTTTAAAGGCAGGTCTGCCTTCGTACAATATCAAGGCACCAGGTGAAGCAGCTGATGCTGATGAAATGGTTCAAGTCAGCCTTTCTCTTTTGAAAGCAGCACAGGCAATGTTAGATGGCTAGTTAAAAAAAAAAGAAATAAAAGAAGTAGCAAAGTAGTTATCTTGCTCTCTCTTTCCCAGGAAATCATCCAGTGACTAAAAGTCTTTCCCCAAATTTGTCCTAAAACGTTGCATGCTGGGATGGGGATGTAGCTCAGTGGTAGAGTACTTGCCCAGCATATACAAGGTTCTGGGTTTGACCCTCAGCAACACACACATGCACACACACACTCTTTTCTACAAAGAAGTCCTTCAGAAAGAATTTGATGCTGTTGTAAATGTACATTTTAGCTTTTAATATGTTGACATGGAAGACTTAAAAACAAGTAAGACTTATGTATATATTCCCTGCTCTTGTAATATATAAAATACAATTTATGTTATTGGTTTCTAGGTTTCTCTGTTAAATCAATTTACATAAACTCTCAAGAGCTATTCTGGTACATAATGTATACTTGACAATATATGGTGTTTGTGGTCATTTCTATGAAATGTCAGATTATCAGGCCCTGGGTCAGAATTCTTCTATTACATCATTATGTAGGAAAATCAAACCCCAAGTCTCCCACTTTTGCCATGTGAGGTACAGGCAAGATTGGTGTTCATGTTAGAAGGTCAACTCTCTGGAATTATAAGTAGGTATATGTTTACCACTGACTGCATGCACAGCAGGGGAGGGGGCTTAAACAACTGACTTGTATCTGGAAACAGATAGGTAATAATGAGCAATTAAAAATTGGTGTGGAATTGCTGGGCATGGTGGCACACGACTGTAATCCCAGAACTAGGGAGGCTGAGGTAGGAGAATCCCTGTGAGTTAGAGACCAGCCTGGACTACATAGTGAGTTCCAGGTCAGTCTCAACTACATAGTGAGACCCTGTCTCAAAAAACAAAAACAAAAAATGGTGTAAAATGGATAAACCTTGAGAAAAATATTTATAGTGAAAGAAGCCAGTCAGTGACAAAAGACCATCAACTGCATGATTCCATTTATATGAAATGTCCAGGATATGTAAATCTATAGAGACATGAAGTAGATTAGTAATTAGTTGGGCTGGGAATGGGTGGTATGAGGGGACTGAGGGAAATGATAACAAGGAGTGAAATTTTTCTTTCTGGATGATGAAAATATTATCAAATTGACTGTGTTCATAGTAATACAATTTAAAAAAACACTGAATTGGATATATTAAGAGTAGGTTGTATGATATGTGAATTATATTTCAATGAATATGTTAAATTTGATGTAAGAGAATATATAAGAAACAAATAAATCTGTTTTTAGACTTGCATGTTGATGTCCAGATATAAAAATGTCTTTATTATTTACAGATGTTCAACATGCATTCCTTAATTTTCCTTGATATTTTTGAAAAGGTCACAAAATAACCACAAAACACAAAAGGAAAGGAGATAATAGTTTTTAATTGTAAAATTTGAGTCCTGCTTTGGAACTGTTTACATTGATATTTTTAAAAGTCTATAGTTTGTAAAATAAGTAGTGTCCCTAAAAAATCACTGTATGTTTCTCTGATGAACATAATTAAACAAGAAATTCAAAAGCTTTTCTTTTACTGTTCATTACTACCCCTATGTTTTAGTAATTTATACATTGGACAATTACAACTCATGACCTGTTAGGCCATTCCTAAAAATCACTTTGCGGCTTTGTTTAATGTAGAATAGAAGCACATTTTCCAGATAAAATTTAAAGGGGTGGCTTTCAGCACAGTCTAGAAAACCAGAATCTGGGGACTCTGAGACATGACACTTTCCCTAAGAGAGAAATTGGCACTATTGTCTCCTGGACAAATTTTCATGGGGCTATGCTGTAGCAGACTGGCTCGCTGTCTCCAAACCCTATAATCAGCACACCTAAACCATTAACCTTTACCTCCAAGTGAATGACCATTACTGCTTATTATTGTTTTCAGGTCTTTTCTTATTGTTGTTCCTTTCTTCCACTGGGACCAGGATTGTTCCTAGTCACAGAGGATTTAAGAAGCAGTATTTCAGTAGTTTTCCGGCATAGCCTCAAGCAGACATATGACTGTTGGGCCTACTCTGATCTCACAGATTAGTTGAAGTAATTGGGTATTTTGGGTACCTGTTTCATTTCCCTGTGTCTGCCTGCTTTTCATGGACTTTGTCTGATACCTAGTTCGTTTAAGACCAATGCTCTGCTTTGCTCAGTACTTGTCTTGCAAGTCCTTTTAAGGGACTAGTAATTTGCTCTTAATCCCAATTCCCGTGACTGGATTTTCTGAATTGTAATTTTCAGTGTGCTTGCTACATAGAGTATGTGGCTAACAACAAACTAGATGTCATAGAGATTTTTTAAAAAGTGCCAGACATTCTGCTATAATGCTATATTTGTCTTTCTGAAGGATCTCTCATTCTGCAAAAGCCTAGCAGCCTTTTATCTTTCTGTCCTTCCAGGGGTGGCTTTTACATACTGATTGGTGCTATATTGAGGAGAAGCCAGAGGGAAAGACTGCAAGGTCACTGTATCTAAAGTACATCTTTGATACTCCAACTGATGGGGGTAGCCTCCTTTATTCTTCAGCATCAGAGAAAAGATGTCTCTCCATCTACAAGCCTATCTGTGTGTACCAGGGAGGCAAAACTCAAGGAACAAGATGAAGTGAGATCAGTGGTAATTGGTGAGATGCTTGCTTCATAGTCCATGGACAAAGTGTTCTGACTTGAGAGCAGTGGCCCCTTTCCTGTGTTAGCTTTCAAGAGAGGCCACCTTGATGCCTGAAGAAAAGGTTTCAAATTTTTTTCTTGTTTTTGGTAAACTACATTAAGTGGAGCAAAATGTTAATAAGTCAAACATCAAGAATTAAGGCAAGCTAAGATAACCATAACAAAGTCAAATGTAAGCCAGATTAGGGACTAACTTTTTCACTTTTTTGTAGAAGAGATTACCGATCATCTCACAGGTATCTTTAATTGAATATTAAATAAGGCAAATATGGCCTGAAGATGGTGAAACCCAACCTTACATTCTAAATAATATCAATCTATTTTTGGGTTTATTTATATACTCCAAACAGTAATCATTCATTTATATTAGAGTGCTCTCCCGAATCCCACTATTCACTTTTTAAACAATAATAAGGAAGTATACAAGTAGGGTCCTTCAAGATCTGGAACCTCGTCATTCGTTCTGTTTCTTCTTTTGCTCACAAGCTCTCCACGCCTCAGTTTCATAACCAAACAGTCTTTCCATACGCTATCATCATGTCTGTTGTCTAGAATGCTCATTTGTCTATATTCTAATCACCCGATGCATTTTTGTTGAATACACTACCCAATAGCCTGAAAGCTCCACGAGAGCAAACTACTTCTGTCTTTGTTCACTACTGTACTCAAAATATCTAGTGCTAGTAGGCAGCCAACAAATACTTAAGAGTCTTTAAACAGAAGTTTCAACAGGCGCCCACCTATACTCCCAGCACTCAGGAATTGAGGCAGGAGGACTGTTGCAAGTTTCAAGTCAGCCTGGGATACATAGTGAGTTCAAGTCCAGCCTAAACTACACAGGGAGACCCTGTCTCAAAACCAACCAACCAAGAAACAAACAGAAATTTAGCACTTAGCTTAAACTTGGTCTTCTTTGGGAAGGAATCTCAGAGCTTCTGACACTTGGTTAGTTACTTCTCTCATGTGCTCCATGGGCTTACCTGTCTCTTCCAGTAGGCTGAGATTCTGATGGACAGAAAATCTAAAATCTTCATCCTGCTAATGCAAAAAAAACCTTTGTAAATCATCTGGCCTACTCTAAGTAGCTCAAGAAATGTCTACTGAGCAGATTATTGAGCAATATGTGAACTTGGAAAGACCCTTACCTGCACCCACACCCACATCTCTCATACAGAAATTACATGAAAGCATTGGATAAACTGGTCATGTACTCAATATTTCAAGAGGGGTGACATCTAGATAAATTAAACCATGTGAGTAGCGCGTCAAATTCAAAATATACATAAAATTGTAAGTGAAAGAGGAACTTAGCAAAGCAATTTGGGCTCCTCAAGTATTCCTTCTTCCTCGTTGTCCTTGGGTAGTTTACCATTTAAGGGATACAGGAGCCATGCCTGTATGATTAAAAATCAATTTAACGACAAAGATGAAGCTGGGATTAAAACTGTTTTAAGATAGCTACTGTTCTTTCACTGTACGGTTCAAGTTTTTTTTTCAGCTTTAATTGAGTTTATTGGCACATTTTTAGGGATACAGTACAGTTACATTCATTGTTGGGATCTTGTACCTCTACATGACAGGTCTTGATTCTCATTTTTCCCCTTACCTCTGCCCTCCCTTCACCCCCTCCTTTTCTCCCCATCTACAAACATTTTATTTTCATCTTTTCATTCTCTCACATTTTTTTCTTTTCCCTTTTTACTCTTCCCCTACCCATCCCACCTTCCCTACACCTTTAGCTCCTTTCTTCCCATTTCTAAATGTCAGTAATCTTATTAGAATCTTATGCATTGTTGCAGAATATTCACACCAGGGAAACTATTTGGTATTTACACATGTGGGACTTATTTATTTCACTTAGGAGTATATCTTCAATATGTATCCATTTTCCTATGAATGAATCTATTCTCTCGCTCTTTATGGCTGAGTAATATTCCATTTTATAGAAAAACCACAACTTCTTTATCCAGTTTCCAACGGATGGGCAAATAGGTTGTTTCCAAGATTTAGCTATTACAAACTGTGCCGCTATAAACATGGGTGCACATACTTCTCTGTGATATGATTCTTTTAGTTCTCTTGGAAAGATACCCAACAGAGGGATGGCTGGGTCAAATGGAACCTCCAGTCCAAGCTCTTTGAGGTATCTCCATATTGATTTCCATAGTGGTTGCACTAGTCTGCACTCCCACCAACAATGGAGGAGGGTTCCTTTCTCCCCACAACCCCGCCAACATTTGTTATTGTGTGATTTCTTGATAGCAGCCATTCTTTGTGGGGTGAGGTGGAATCTCAGTGTTGTTTTCATCTGCATCTCTCGAATGACCAGTGATGTGGAACATTTTTTCAAATATTTTCTTGCTGCTTTTACTTCTTTGAGAAATGTCTGTTCATTTTGGATGCCCATTTTTGAATCGGGTCTTTATATTTGGGGGGACTGATTGTTTTGAGTTCTTTATATATCCTTGATAATAGTCCTTTGTCTGAGGAACAGTTGGTAAAAATTTTTTCCCACATTGTAGATTGTCTCTTAGTTCTGCTGATGGTTTGTTTTGAAGTACAGAAGCTTTTTAGTAAGATGAGATCCCAGTTGTTGATTCTATCTGCTAGTTCCCGTGCTACTGAAGATTTGTTCATAAAGTCTTTTCCTATACCAATGTCTTCCAGAGTTCTGCCTAACTTACCTTCCAGCAAGTTTAATGTTTCTGTTTTAATATTTAGATCTTTAATCCATTTGGATTTTAATTTAGTGCATGGCGAAAGATAAGGGTCTAATTTTTTCCCACCTATATCATTGTCAAATTTATCCTAACGTTCTTGGAAGAAATGTGTTCAGATACAAACTCAATTCAATATGATGATTTCAAGTTGAAGAGGTAAAGGGCAAAAGGAGTCCTAGCTTGCTATCTTCAGTAACAGGCATATGAACATGTATATGGTGTCTAAATTTATATTGTAGTAGCTTCGTTAGCTTATTCTGTAATTGGTGCTTCACTCAAATCCTGACCTGCTCCTCTAATGTTCTCTCTTGATTTTTGAGGGGCACCTTTGAAATAAGATGAAACAAATATAACATAGGCCTCTTCCTGAGAACAAAAAATCTTAGGGACAACTCAAGGACCCTGCTGCTGGAGCACAAAAACACCTAACACAATAGTTGTCTAGGGATTAACATGTCAAACAAAACTTTGACACACATGATCTTATTCACTCCCTACAACAATCCTAAACCTAAACTAGTTCAGGAAACTGAAAATAACACTCAATTCACTTGTAAACTATATCCGTACTTTGGTTAAAGAGTTTAACAACATCCACTGGATTAGGAGGTGGGTGCCTGCTGCTTGAGCTACCCAGCAGACTGGGAATAAAGGAAGGACTGTTTGGTCACAGCGCAATCATGGCAATAGAAGCGCCCACTCTTTCCATTTTGACCCAAACAGTCTATCTATGGCTGGCAATTAATCAGTGCTCCCTGTCGTTTGTCCAGAGGCTGCCAGTTGCCTTGCTAATTAAACTTCCCACAGTGTGGCCAGACCACCCCCATTCCCACCCCCCAGGCCTCTGTCAGGGAGGGTGCTGTGGCCTGTGCCAGTGGAAGCTGACACTCGGGTCGCGCCGCCAGTGAAACACAAGCAAATGCTCCTGGTACTCAGTTTCCCCATCTCTAAAATGGGCCACTCCACGTCTGTCTTGACAAGTTCCGTCCCATTTCACGGTAGGCTAGTAGGAAGTGAAATCCGTGCTTAACCTCAGCTGCAAGTCCTCCGCTAGGCGCCGGTCGCGGTGCTGGGCATGCTCAGTAGCCAGGCCAGCTGAGCGCGGAATAGGAAGCAGCTTTCTGCGCCGGGGCGGTCGGCTCTAGGCACTTTGATGAATCACGTGCGTTGAGGCCCTCTTAAAGAGATACCCACCCACTTTTCCTCTACCCTAAACACCGCCCTGAGGGCGGCGGCGACCTTGGTAATTGCAGCTGCTTAGGGGCAGGGCTTGCCCCAGCGCTGAGTAGTGGCAACACTGTTGTTGCGTCGGGGGGGCGCCGGGGAGCCAGGAGCCCCGAGGGCCTGAAATCTGTAGCTTCCTGGCAGACACAGTCTCCCTAAGGAGGACGTGCTGCGGAGTCCACGCGGGGCAGCGTGAGCACCCGAGGGGTTTCTTCAGTTGAGGGGAGGTTCGGTTACAGGGCACAGGTGACAGGGCCAGAGAGATGGAGCAGCCCGGGGCGGCGGCGTCGGGAGCGGGAGGCGGAAGCGAGGAACCCGGTGGGGGCCGGAGCAACAAGCGGAGCACGGGAAACCGGGCCTCCAACGAAGAGGAAACGAAAAACAAACCCAAACTGGTGAGTGCTCCCGCAGCCCCCGCCGGCCTAGGGGGACGAGGAGCGTCCCGGGTCCGCCTGCCGTCGAACACTGGGGCCCCGGGGCCCCCTCCGAGAGTGACCGCGACCTCGACCTCACAGTGTCTCTCTGGGAGCCGTTAAAGGAGCGGCGACGGCGTGGGGGCGGAAGAGCAGTCCTTCGCCCCCTTAAGCCCTGTCTCACTCGCGTCAGCCTGGGAGGCAGAGAGAGGAGAAAGTCCCCACCCCAACTTGGGGAGACCGCGAATCCTAGTACTGGGCAGGGCTGTTTGTCTAACTTGTGGTCACGAACCTTCTTTGCTCGATTCCATTTCCCACCCACCTTTTATCGGTGGCTGTTTCGCTTCTTAACACTTAGGGACCCGGGCAGGGGACCCACCCTCCTTTTCAGTCCGAATGCTTGGGAGCCCACTCACACAGCCAAGCAAATCAAGAAAATCACAGCGCAGGCGCACCCCACCCCCTTTACCAGAAATCCGAGGAAGAGGCGCCTACGAGCGTTTTTTTCTCCCTTGCCTCTCTCCATGTGCTCTCCCGAGAAACATTTCTTTGAAAAAGTGGGGGTAGCGTGGGAGTTAGTTGGAGGCTGGGTGAGGTACCACCAACTGTCCTGTGTGTGTAATAGTCACAGTACTTCCACTCAGTGGATTAAGAAACGCTCAAAAGCAGTAGGCAGACAGCAAGTCTCGAAGTCTTGAGAGTACAGACCAGTGGTTAGCAGTCCATTTCCTGCCACTGAATATACAGAGAAATTAAATACTATATATGGGGCCTGGTATTGCATTAGAAAATACTGGAGTTTCCTCAGCTCATCAGTTAGAGGGGTTCCTCTTTTAGTGTACTTTCTAATTTGGGTGGCATGAGGGGAAAGGGTTCAGTAAAAATACAGCAAATACAGTACTCTTTTTTGCTGAAGATGATTCTTGGTCCAGAACTGAAGTACAAGCCACGTGTTGCATGTCTGAATTTGAGTTTTAAGCAGCAACTTGATTGTAATAGATGAGACAGGGTGAAATGGTGACTTATTAATAACTAAAGCCATTTCCTATGACATCTGCCCTTTGGTATGGACCCATTGTATTTCTCTGTCGGGTCCTATTTTTCAATTACGGGCTGTTTATATTGGAAAACCGTGGTTAAGGCTTTATTGTTTTAGGAAATGTGCAGCTTTCCCTTGTGTGGAAAGGGACTTGGTAGGTAGATTAAGATAACAAATTTAAATCCCATCAGTTCCACTCTAATTTGAGGCACATTGAGAAATTGTTTACTTGATGTGTCCTGTTATCTAATGATTTACAAATGAAAAAAACTGAGCCATGGGCTCATTATGACTTGTCTTGGTAGCAGAAGGTTGATGGGTTTAATGGGTACCTGCGCCATCATGAAACTTAGAAGTTTTGTGAGTCTGTCAGTAGAGTTTGATGTATTTAAACTTCTAATGTAATTTTGAAATGTATCAGTTTGTGGTGAAAGAGTGATGGTCCAATTTCCTTTTTTTTTCTTTTTCTTCCTCTTTTGGCCCCCATACAAAACTGGTTTAATCAGTAATCAAAAGTTTAAGTAAAAATAAAAGTTAGCTGTTAGTTACTGCAGGTAGTTTGGTATACCTGGCATGAACTTTTCACTTTAAGGATACTCCTAAGAAAATGCTTTTGTCAGTATTTTCACCTTAATTATATTACTGCCTTCTCTTTGGCTATTTGCCCTGTCTCTTTTATGTTTTACTTGCTCTGACAAGGTAACTAGATAGTTATGAGATAGTATCCCTTTCAGTTTGTAGCTAACTTCTCTGTTCCATGTTGAACATAGCTTAGTGTAGCAGAACAAGAATTTGAAGCCAAGATGAGTAGCAGCATGAAAGTTTGTTTTTTGCTCAAACATAACTTTTGAGCCTTACATGATTTTATAATCAGATGTATCAGAGCTAGTAAAAGCATATTTAAGAAGGCCTTACAGCACATTTGAAGGCAAACAAGTTCACCAAACAATAAGACTTGGTAAACTTTAAGAAAGACCTCAGCTGGGATTCTTTTTTTTCCAATTTTTATTTTTTATTAGTACATGTTTGTAGTACACAATGATTACATTACTTCTGGGGAGATGGTGCATGTACATAACACTTTGTACATAACATAATTCTTTTTTCATCCCCTTCCCCTCTGCCTTTCCTGCTCTTGGTCTCCTTCCCTTTTACAAAAAAGATCTTTCTCCTATTTCCTATTAACTTTTAGTATATATATATATTTTTTTTTGAGACAGGGTCTCACTATGTAGTTGAGACTGACCTGGAACTCACTGTGTAGCCCAGGCTGGTCTTGAACTCACAGCGATGCTCCTGTTTCACCCTCCCGTGTGCTGGGATTACAGGCGTGCGCCACCATGCCAGGCCCTTTTAGTATAATCTTTAATTATGTTTTGCATTGTGATGTTTATGCTTATACGTCTGATTAATTTCAGTTAACATTATGGTCTCAAGGTACAACCATTTTTCTACACAATTTATCATTCTACAAGTTTATCATTCTTTATGGCAGAGTAGTAATCTGTTGGGTATAAATACCACATTTTATTTACCCATTCTTTTGCCATGGGCATATACATTGCTTCCAAGATTTACCCATTATGAATTATGCTGCTATAAACATATCACTGTAATATTGTGTAACTCTTTCCCGAAGGTACCTAGAAGGGGAATAGCTAGGTCTAATGGAATTTCTAGTTTTAGTTCTTTGAGGAATCTCCATACTGATTTCCATAATGGTTGTACTAGTTTACATTCCCAGTAACAATGTAGAAAGGTTCTTTTTTCCCATAGCCTCACCAGCATTTATTATTTTTTAATTTCATGATAGCCATTCTAGAGTAAGATGGAATCTAGGTTCTTAACTTAAAAATTTCCTGGTAAGGTAAAACTTTATTTAGACTATATTTTATTATTTTGAGTATTAATCACTGTAATAGTCTTCAATTGTCTGTGTGTAAAGGGATTATAAAAGAGACCCGTGTGGTAATAAAAATTCTATATGTGGGTGATTGTGGAAGATATGAGTTCTTAAACTTTTCAAGTTATATGAAAATTAAATCTATATTCATTTTTCTGGACTCCATAGATTTCATCAGTTTCTCAAAGATATTCGTCATCTATAGGAAGAATAAGAACTATTGCAGTACCGCAGAAAGACAGTAAAGGAAATGACAGTTGATTCCACCCTAAGTTGGGGAGGAGAGGAGGTCAGTGGTGAAGGGAACAGGGAAATAGTACAGACCACAAGGTTGGCTGATATTGAAGAAAATTATAGGTATAAAATGAAATTAAACTATACAATATCTTCATAGTATTAGCTAGGAACGAAGTTTCTGCTACATAGAAAATTCAGTCTCTAGTAGAATGGATTAATAAGTATAAGGCTTGTGATTCAGTTGTTTTCATTTAGTTTGTCATGGTCCTGAAAGCTGGAGATGGAAAGCATGTTTTCTATACACAGGAACCACTTTCATTTATATTCTCAACTTATTTTTTTTATATTATGTATTGAACCCAGGGCCTTTATATCCAGCTACGTCTCCACATCCCCACCTTTTAAATTTTGAGATAGGTTATTGCTAAGTTGCTCAGGCTGGGCTCAAACTTTTGATCCTCTTTCCTCAACCTTCCACAGTGCTGGAATTATAGGCATGCACCAACATACCTGATTTATCTTCAATGTTTTGATGGCTATTAAGAATTTTTTTCACAGTGACATTTCAGGTCTGTAATGACTTCTGTTTAAGGTTAATTAAACAAAAATTTAATAAGTCACTCCAGTTTCCTTCATGTATGCCTCCATAATGATCCTTTTATTTTGATTATTTTAAAGGAAAGCAATCTTGTGTTGGACTCATCACTTTGAATACTGCATTAGTAGTAGAGTTTTGGATCATATGTGACTATCTGGTTAGGCCTAGATTGTAGTGCATGCCTTCAAACAGCATGCCTCTTAGATTAATTAGTGATTTGATGTCAACCATATATTTTGTTCCATTTAGTAGTAGAAGTGTTATGAAGGAACTATGTCTTGATTCTCATATATTTAAAATTAAGTACTTAACTACTGAGAGAGACCACTGTTAAGGTAGAACTTATACTACATACTACACAAACAATATTGGTGTAAGAATGACTTGACCATATTTTTTTTTTTGGTACTAGGATTGAAGTCAGGACTTATCACTGAGCAACATCCCCAGACCTTTTTTGTTCATTTATTTTGAAACAATCTCTTGCTAATTCACTAAGTTGCTCAGACTTGTTCAAACTTTCCTTCCTCCTGCCTCAGCCTCCCAGAATGCTGGTATCACAGGCTTGTACCATAATGTTTTTGCACTTTGACTTTGTATTTATGTGTAATTTCTGAAATTTTTGTTTCCTTAGACAGTAAAGTTAAATTTGTGGCTTTAAAATACTTGTTAATTTTCTGGTTATCCTATAGCTTCCTGAGTATTGTTTTTTTTTATTTACAATTAGATAAATCATGTTTTTTTTTAAATAAGTTCTGAGCACAATGATTTTCATTTGTGTAGCGTGTTTACTGAGTACTTACTATGTGGTAGGCACTGTTCTAAGGATTGGTGATATAAAGATGCTCATAGTCTAGTGAAAACATCAAGGAAGTGAATTAATGATTAAAGAGCAGTATAATAAGTTTGATGATAGAAGCATGCTGTGAAAACATCGGTGATAGACACCTTAGTCAAATTGTATACTTGAGTGAGATAAGAAAAGGCTTATAGTAGTGATATTTGTACTGGGCTTTAAGAAATGATGAGGTAAAGGCATTCTAGGTTGAAAAAACATCATATATAAAGGTAGGTAGAGGTGGGAACTTACCAGTAGATATGAATGGTTGAAACAGAAGGTACATGTGATAGTGGATCTGCCAGAAAAGAGACAGGGTCCAAATCGTGATGGACCTTTGTGTACTAGGTTTTCATCTTTTTTCTAAAACTCAGAGTAAGTCATTAAAGAGCTTAATTGTTATTCAGAAAGAAATTTAAACCTGTAGAGAATTTCTTGGAGAGATGTCAGAATGGAGGCAGGAAGATTAGCTAGGAGGAACAGAGTGCCATAATAGAGTTTGATGTTTAGAGACCTGTGCTCTAATCGCAGCTCATCTATTCATCTATTTACCTGCTCATCTATTTCTTAGCCATATTTCCCTGTCCCTCAGTTTCCTCCTGTCATCTCTATGGCCTCTTCTTCTTGTCACCCACACTGATCAAATCTGAAATGCCTACCATGTTTCTCTTTAATAAATCTCAGATTTGTTCACAGCCCAGCTCATACCTTAGTATTCTTTCCTTCTTCCATTAACATGTTCCTCCTGGCTTGAACCACTGGTGGTATATGCATGACTGTTCCATTGGATGAGTTGT